TAAAAAGGTTATCATATTGCACTTCAATAAATGTCTGCTAAAAAATTTATGGTCATAGTAGGAGTACACTATCGAATATAGTCGGTTTACTCTAAGAGCTAAGGCATTTAGGAATCAAAGAAAACTTGTGTGATCATAATTGAATAGACTAATAACCATAAGATCATGCTATGATAAATTGACACAATGACTAAACTCGTATGATAACCATGCTCGTGAAAGGTAATTATGAATTAATTAATCTTCTAGAATATTATGTAATCATGATGCCTTATTAAAGGCCAATCTTGATTTATATATCAAGAGATAAAAGAGGTGTCTTTTATTTTTGATACATTGCCAACATATCTATAAGCCTATTGAGTCACATGCATAAGTTTAAGCATTCATATAATAAAAGAGAAGCAAAGATTTTGAAAAAACTTTCCAATATTGAAAGTTTCCTATTTTGAAAAAGGTTTTCAAAAATGAAAATTTTTTTATTATTAGAAATCAATTTCTCAATTTGGAATTTAGTTCTAAATTTGGAATTAAGTTATCTAAAAAGAAAATTAGTTTCCTAATTTAGCTTTAATGGTAATTTTGAAAATTGTTTCCTAATGTGGACCTCCTAAAAAATATCTAACCTAATTTATTTGGATAGTCCAAATTAATTAGTAATTAATTGGGCCAAGGAGTTTGGGATAATAAGTTTAATTTAAAAGCCTATAAGATATTTTAGTAGGAGGATAAACATGAATCTTATTGAATAAAGATAAAGGTTTAAAAGGATAAGATCAAAAAGCTCACATGCACAATAACTCCTAATCCTTGGAGGATTAGATAATAACAATCAAGAGTCCTTCTTGGGACACATTGCCACCACTTCATTGTCCTTGGAGGAAAAGGAAGACACTCCCTTTTAAATATAAGGGGAGGTGCAGCAAAAGAAAAAAAAGAGCTAAAAACACATGGCTAGGGTAAAAAATAAAGAGAAAATAGTTTTCACTTTCATAAAAACAAGCCACACCTTCCCTTCTCTCTTAGGGTTGTCACAAAATATCTTTGAATAGATTTCTAAAGAGAAACACTAAACAAGTCGAAAAAGATAGAGCTAGCACTTTACTACTTCGAGTGCTTCTTGTGTGGGTGCTTGGACTGCGTGGATTATCAATAGAGGTTGGATGCTTAGATGACTCTTTTTCTATAAAGGTTAAATTTTGTGCTACAAGAGGTAATCATTTATTTATGCTTTAATTTGTATATATATGATTAGTTGATTCAACGGTTTGATCTTGGGAGCCTTAGATGGTGGAAAATTTTTGTTTTATTTATATGTCTATAGGATGCATGATCCTTCAAAATATTATCAATAAATATTTCTTTTTGGCTTTATTTTTCCCTATATTGACATAATTTGTCAAACTCTCTTGATTTTTCTCAAGCATTTGGACTTATTCTAAAAGCCTATTATTATAAATATCTTGGATTATTTTATGAATATTTGCATTCTTTATATTTTCATCTTGATTATCTATCCCTTTTTTTCAAGGATTTTTATCTTTAAAATAGATCAGGCTTCCAAGCTTTAAACATGCTTTAGATTAATTTTCTACAATAGTAATAGATTGTCCTTCTAGGTAATCAATTCCAATAGGATAATTCTTAACGGGGACATGTATTTTAGTTACTCTTTTAAGATATGAGAATGCATCTAATGGTTGGTTTGTAATACCTTATAAATAAATTATCTTCTAAATTTCTAGTTAATATTATTTTTTATGAGAATCAAGATGATATAAAGATAAAGTACTCCATGTAATCTTTTTTCTAACATTTTTAATTGCTTATTTTTCTATTCTCTCCCCCTTATATTGGAAAAACTATTTCATCAAAATGATAGTCGGTAAATCGAGCTATAAAAATATCTCTTGTTCATGGTTCAAGATATTTAATTATCAAAGAGGATTCAAATCCAACATATATTCTTAATCTCTTTTAAGTGATCATTTTAGTTCGTTGTGGTGAAGCGCCATGGATATATACTCGCACAACTAAAATTTATTAGATGAGAAATTTTGGCTCATGACCACAACCTAATTAAAGGGATGAGAATTTCGATAACTTATGAGTGTGATGCAAATAAGTGTTGCTACATGTAAAATTACATGTCCCCAACCATAAACAAGGAGTTTAGTTTTAAATAATGGTTTAGCTATCAATTGGAGCCTTTTGATAAATGATTTTGCTAAACCTTTTTTACTATGAACATGAGCAATAGGGTGTTCAACCTTTATTCCGATAGCCAATCAATAATCCTTTATTGCTTAAGAGATAAATTCACTAACATTATCAAGATCAATTTTTTTAATGACATAATCTAGAAATTATGCTTGTAATCAAATTATTTAAGCCAACAACCTCAAAAATGCTAGGTTTTGAGTAGATAACAAGGATACATATGATCATCTTATGGATGTATTTATTAAAATCATAAAATGTCTAAATGGTCTATATAGTGGATGAATTGATCCACATATATCACTTTGAATACATCCTAAACATATTAGAGATTTAATCTCAATTTTACTTGGTGATGGTTTAATAATCAATTTACCTTGAGAACAAACAAAATATGAAAATTCATTAAATCGAAAAATCTTCCGGCTCTTTAATATATTTCAATATGAATTTTTACTACTTTTGTGTCATGAAAGACCCAAGATAACTTAATTAGTTATGTCACATAATAAAAGTATTTTAAATTAGCAAACTTCTAGTTTACTAGACCATTTGTTTTAATCATTCAAATATTTTTAATAAAGACCAAAATAGAAAATAGATAAATGTTTCTATACATATTTTCTACCCGATATAATAATTATAATATTTAAGTATTCAATATTTTTTCACATTTCGTTGTCTTGATATGATATCAATTTAAATGAATATCTTTAAAAATCAATAAATTTCTATGAGACTTAAGAGATATTGACGTTAGCCCCGCGAGGAAGGTCGACAAGGAGTCACCATCTAAATAATTAGGAAGAATTAGGAAACTCTATAGATATTGGTTTGCATAGATATTTAGATAAAAGATCGGTTACATATGGTGAACATATGACATCACCACCATCTAATCGTACCTAAAGTAGGTTGCATTGTTTACCTATGAACATAAAAATCTAGTTTTTAATGTGCTATACTTTTATCCCTATTTAAATGATTTTATTCTATAAAAATATTAAATAGGACGATCAAGTGTAAAACATGGTAGTTTGAGAGTTTAAATCGATTTAAGGGCAATACCCCTTACCCAAAAAGAGAAAGGTGGGGAAAGTTAAAATTTTGGCTAGTCATTAGTGAATATGACCTATTATCAACAAATAGGTGAGTTTTTAAAGATGAATAGTCTTCTAATAGCATGAGCAATGAGTCATCGGTGACTTAACTCGCACAAGTGGAAAGCCATCGACGACTTCGAGTCATGAGTTTGAAAGGCTACCGACGACTTCATCACACAAGTGAAAAGTTATTAATCATCTTATATGACTTAGATCAAGAGTAAACAACTAGTTTGGAAGCCATTAGTGGCTTCATCACATAAGAGGGAAGCCAATGGCAGCTTCGTTTCAAACAAGTAGACATTAAATAAAAATTGTTTTGAAACCACTAGTGGCTTCATCATATAAGTGAAAAGCCATTGGTGGCTTCATTTTGATAAAAACAAGAAATAGGAAATAGGAATAAGAAGCAGGAGACAAAAAAAAAAAAGAAATAAAAAATGAGAAATAGGAACAAGAAAAAGATAAAATGATTTCAAAACCACCGATGGCTTTATCACATAAGGGGAAGGCACTAGCAATTGCATTTCCATAATTCAAAGCGAAACAAAAAGGAAATAGAAAAAAAGAAGTAGAAACAGGAAACATAAAATAGAAAATAGGTACCGTAAACGAACAAATTGATTTTAAAACCACTAATGACTTTGTCATATAAAAGGAAAGCTACCGATGACTTCATTTTAGCATTACAACTAAACATAGTTAATTAATCATCTACAAGAAAAAACACAAACTTCTCATTTAGACATGTATGTGTAAAATAGTAAAATAGTATAGTTACTATTTTAATGGCCATTACAACAATGGTTTCTTCAATCCACATTTAAACCTTGAATATTTAAACAACATGCAACATTTTCATTCATATAATCATATATAGTTAATCAACCAACCATAAAATAAGACAAACTTCACATTTAGATGTGCAAGAGTAAAATAGTGTAGTTTGTTTTAATGGTCATCATAGTAATGTTTACTTCAATCCACATTTAAACCTTGAATATTAAACAAAATGTGATAGTTTCATTCACATTTTTAAATAATCTAATCATTTTTAAAGAGTATAGTGGTTTTGAAATTTTTACCTAAAAGTTCTATAGCTCAAATGTCTTATTTGAAGTCGGCTTTGCTCTCTTGATTCTCGATGAAAACCGATTATTCAGTTAGCCTAGAAAGGAGAGCAACTCGCTTGTTGGAAAAATGTGATACGGATCTTGTTAAAGTGGCCAAACGTTTCTCTAATGTCTACGCAAATGGCCAAGGTTACCGTTGCTCCAAAAGTCTCCAAAAGTTGTTGTAAATTTACAAAGTTACGAAAACTTTGTAAAATTAGTAACAAAGTTGTTGTTGCATTTATCCTATCTAAAATTCAACACAAAGCCAAACCAATATAATCTTACAATAGTAAAGTTTTTTTAATTTTTTTCCTTTTTGGTCTTAAATTTATTATCGCTACTATTCACAACCAACAAAGCCAACTCTTTTTTTTTTTCTATTGCACCCAAATGCAAGATACTATATGGATGTTTCATGGCTCAAAGATGAAAGATAACGGAGGGTTGCTTTGAGGTTACAATGGTGAGAAAAGGGGTTATTACACGTTGAATGTGGTGCGAAGGCTATTAGTTGCACTAGCACGAGGTTGTATCCGGGCGTGTAAGCCGGTCGTATGTGACTATGATGGTTTACGATGGCCTCGCTACTAGGAGGAGCTACCGCATGGAGGTGAGGTGTAGCTATGTAACAGCTTAGCACATATGAAGAACTCGGTAGCAGTCGATGTGTACAAAAGATGTGAGGGAGAGCTATTATAGTAGGATGATGCATAAGGAACTAGGATCCGGATTGTGGTGTCTACTACGTTGTGGGGTTGCTTGGGCGACTAGTAGGTTTGAAGGTTACGGAGCATGTGTGGGTGTGCGAGAAAGACTATGGCAAGCCCGTAGGTGCATTGGGTTGTGAGGAGGCCTACTTATGTTGTTCTTGGCATGTAAATGGGTACGCAAGGAGGAGAGTTTGAGTAACTATTGGTGTATGAGAGATGCAAGGTGTGAGTATGCTATATTTACTTAGGAGTTTGTGAGGATGAGTTTGAAAGGAGGTTGGGTTGTTATGGGAGGAGTTGGAGTGCGAGGGACCGGGTAAGGAGCCGTGATCGAGGTGAAGTTGGTCGGCTATAGGGCGAGAGAGTGTTGTTGTGTGGAGCTTAAGAGGATAAGAGGTGATGGAAGGGGTTGTCTTGTGGGGGCGATTGCAAGAGATCATGCATTAGGAAATGGAACTATAGTAGAGAGGGATAGAGGCGGATGGCTCTTTTTTAGGTGACAATGAACAGCTTCTTTATACCAAAAAATGTAAAGGGTTGTATAGGTAATTTTTAGGTTTTTTGACAAAAGTCTAATTTGGTCTTCGATTCTCTATAATCCATTGATTGAAGTTCGATTTTAATTTTTTGTTGATGAGGCCCCTAAATCTTAATTAATTAGGACTTTTCTTTTTTGTTTCTTCCAATTATGCACCTTCTTTATTTTAATTAAAGGATATAAGTTTTTATTTTTTTAATTGTACCCTCAATTATTCTCTTTTTTCTTTTTCTTTTTTTTTAATTTCCAAACTTTCTTCTTCTTTTTTTAATTAGCCCCCTCTTAGAACTAACCTAAGCTAATCATTCTAATTGATTTTTTTTTCTTTTCTTTTTTCTCTTTTTAGCATTTTCATTTTGTTTATCATTTTTTGGTATTTTTTTAATAAAAATAAAAATAAAAATAATCGAGGCAAAATAGGGTATTAATAGCTATCCTTTTTTTACAATGCGTATTACGTAAAGTCATTGAAAAATGTTTTTCTTTTGTTTTACATAGTAAGCTTGTAAAGAAACAAAAGAAAATTTTAGGAAGGCATGACTTACCACGTTGATTTTTGAAAGGACATGACTGACAATATTGATTTTTTAGAATGACATGACCGACCATGTTGATTTTTGGAAAGACTTGACCAACAATATTGATTTTTTTAGAAGGACATGATTGACCATGTTTATTTGAAAGGACATGACTGGCCACGTCGATTCTACTCGGGACATAACTAACCATGTCAAAATAAAAGAAATGTGACCAACCACATTAATTTGAAGGGGCACTAACCGACCATGTCAATTTTAAAAGAACATGACTAACCACGTTCATTTGAAAGTGGCACAACCTACCACATCGATTCTGCAAGGACATGATTGATAATGCCAAATTAAAAGAAAATATGATTGACCATATTGATTTGAAGGAGACGAATGACCACGCCGACTTAGAGAAATATGACCGATCATGTCAAATAAAAAAAAACATAACCGACCATATTGATTTGAAAGGGGCAAGATGGACCATGCTGACTCGGAGGGACATGATTGACTATGTCAATTTAAAAAAGACGTGATCGACCACGTTGATTTGAAAATGATGCAATCGATGACGCCGACTTGGAGGAACATGACTTACCATGTCGATTTAAAAAGAACGTGATCGACCATGTTGATTTCAAGGGATATGAATGACAATATTGATTTTTTAGAAGGGCATAACCAACCATGTCGATTTTTTGAAAGGACATAACTAACCATGTTAATTTTTTTTAGAAGGACATGACCGACCATAAGACACGTGATCGACCATTTTATTTGAAAGAACATGACCGACCATGTCGATTATATAAGGACATGACTAACCATGTTAAAATAAAAGGAAACATTATTGACCATGTTGATTTGAAGGGAAATGATTGACCATGTTGATTTGAAGGGAAATGATTGACCATGTTAATTTGAAGGGAAATGATTGACTATGTCAATTTAAAAAGAACATAACCGACCGTATTTATTTGAAAGGGCACGACTAACCACGTCGATTCTATAGGGACATGGTTAACAATGTCAAATTAAAAGAAAATGCAACTGACCATATTAATTTGAAAGGATGTGATTAACCATGCCGACTTAGAGGGACATGACTGACCATGTTAAATTAAAAGAAAATACGACTAACCATGTTGATTTGAAAAGGGCATGATCGACTATACCGACTTGGAGGGACATGATTGACCATGTCAATTTAAAAAGAGCTTGATCGATCACGTTCATTTGCGGGGTCATGACTAACCATACCAACTTTGAGGGCTAACGATTGATCATGTCAATTTAAAAAAGGATGTGATCGACTATGTTGATTTGAAAGGGGTGCGATTGACTACGTCGATCCGGAGGTTTGTCATTGACCATGTCAATTTAGAAAGAACGTAACTAACTACATTGATTGAAATTTGAAAAGATATGACTTGCCATGCCAAATTGAAATTTTAAAAAGACATGACTAGCCACATCAAGTTGAAAGGATGCGATTGGCTATGTAGAATTAAAATTTGAAAAGACATGATCGGCCACATCAAGTTAAAAGGACGTAATCGGCCATGCCAAATTGAAATAAGCATGATCGGCCATGTCAATTTTGATAGGACATGACTGGCTACATTGAATTAAAAAGATGCGACTAGGCCCATTGATTTTGATAGGATATGATTGGCCATATTGATTTTGGTAAGACATGACTAACCATATTAATTTTGACAAGACATGGCTGGCCATGTCAACTTTGACAAGATGTGACTAGCCATATCAATTTTGGTAGGACATGATTGGCCACATTAGCTTTGACAAGACAAAGAGTTTTCGGAAAAGCATAGGTTATCACTACCAAGACATTGGCTTCCCCTTTTCTCTTCATTTGTGTGTCATCTAGCTTGAATAAGTTTAACATTATAAGCCAATTGCTTTCATTGAGGTTGCTTGTTTATAATTCTAATTATGCCCCCTGTTCTTGTATTCATTTGGGATTGTCTGCTTGGAATATTGTCTATGTCAATTGAGTGGTGTCTACTCCTCTAGCTGAATGGATGAGTAATAGGAATTTCATTAAGTTTCACACTCGAGTTTTTACTCTTGATGAAATTCATGACAATCATCAATATCATTTCCACTCGTCTTTGTGAAACTTGTAGAAGAACTCAACATGAATGAGAATTTGAGACTTAGTCGGTGTTTTGTTAACACCGACAATATATAACATGTCAAACAAACAGGATATGAAAATTTTAGAATTGTTCTTTTTTTGTTCACACCTAATGTCATCTAATGATAACATGTTCACTCCACTAGTGGTAGCGCGATTGAGAGGTGATTGGTGTTTGCATTTAGAGCACAAGATTCATTGGGATTATACCACTAAGGGAATGAAGGTTGTCATGGAGTAGTTGCCATAGGAGTTACTTGATCAATAATCATAAGGTGCTTGAAGAGATCATTAACCGAAACGGACGAGTAAGGCAACAACTCTTTATATTTTTTTATCCAATTTTCACTCGATTATTCAACTTAAATGGTCCGCACGATCATTGTATGACTGAAACTTTTGGGCTTTTTGTTATGATAAGGCTAGGCCAAAAATCTTAGGATGAATAAACTTGCACGTGCCCCTAATCATAGTAGTGACAATAGGGATTGAATTGCTCATAGTCTTCCGGTTAGACATAAAAAGAGATGGCCTCGAGGATGCCATTTGAGTAGTAAAACTTGGTATAGCAATGAATGCTCTAGGAATGGTTGATGGTTGACCCATTCTTTGATTTAGAGGCACTTTAGTAGGTGTTCCGCTAAGCATAATGGTGACAATAAAAATTTTAGTGCTCCCGAACTTTCTAGTTGGACAAAAAGAGGGGTGGCCTTCAAGATGCCATTTGGTTAATATAACTTGGTATAGTAGTGAAAACTCTAAGGATGACAGATGACCGACCTATTCTTTGATTTAGAAGCCTTTCAGTAGGTGTGTGAACTTACAAACTTTGCTCAACTAAAATAACTAGCTCGAACATTTTTTCTTTCAAATTATTTTACTTTTTTGGATGGTTTTACTCAAGTTAAGCCTTTTCTTCGTTGTTTATTCTTACTTTGGCTTGAACTATCAACTCTTAAGTGAAAGTTTAGTTTTGATAGGATGACTTATACTTCTCTAAATAAAAAAGAAAAATAAAACAATAATATAATATAAATAATATTCTAACATAAATAAAGACACTCGAGACTCGGATATGGAGTAGCCTTCATGTAGGGTCGATAAGAGGATTCAATCGTTGATTCTTCAATCCTTTTGTATTGACTTAAATTTGGTTTATAGATGAACTTAAATTCCATTGGTAACCTTTGAAAACTCGACATGATGGATTGCCCCGTTTATAATTAGTTTAAAGATCGAGTTGTGTTTCATTAGTAACATTTGACACATTTTGATCGAGCTATGGAATTTCTTTGATATTTAAACATTACATAAATTTGGACTTAAATCCTTTTATCACCCATCCGAAACATTCGTGAATAATTATTCGATTAAGGTTTCAATATATCCGACATACACAATGATTTATACATGAAAGATGATCCTAAGGTTTGGTTTTAGTTATTAAATAATTGGGTAGGATCTATCTAAGTCTCAACAAGATCCCTTTTGACTCAAGAGAACTAAGGCCGACCAAGTGCAAAGGTGGTAATCATGGAAACCATCGATTACCTATCACAACGATGGCGACTTTTCAAAAAAGTTGAGGTTTTGTGAGTGTTAACCGAGGTGTAACCTATTTAGGCATCTATAATTCCTTCTTAGATCCTAAACCTAATGTAGATGACGAGTGTAGTATGGAGGGACACGACTCCATATCTAGTCTTAAAATACAAAATAAAGGCTAAAAATTAAATGACTAGAGCCGTATGGAAGAATAACATAAAAAACGCACATAAATACATATACATTTCCCCCATACGACAAGAATTAAATGACTAAAGCCAAATGGAAGAACAACATAATCAACACATATAAATACAAACACATTTCCAACACACGATAAGAAAACAAACGATCGGATATATAGCAATTAATCATTTAAACAAAAAGGTATTGAGGCATAACAAATGATCACAAACATTCAAAGCTCGACCCTAGCATGGCATTTCCCTAGTGGAATCATCAAATCTATCGATGTCGGTCCCACAATGAGGGTTGAACAAGGAGTTACTACCTAGATAATTAGGAAGAACTAAGAAATCCTAAACATACTAGTCCGTATAGATATCTAAATAAGAGGTCGATTACGTATGGAGAAAATATGACATCACCATCATTCCGTCCTACCTAAGATAGGTTGCTTTGTTTGCCTATGAACATAAAAATTTAGTTTTTATTATGTTATACTTCTATGTCTATTTAAATGAGTTTATTTTATAAAAATATTGAACAGGGTAGTTTAGCGGTAAAACATGATAGTTTAGGGGTTTAGGTTGATCTAAGACCAATACCTCCTACTGCCCTCCCCAAAAGGGGAAAGATGAGGGAAGTTGGAATTTCGATTAGTCATTAGTGAACACAACCTATTATTAACAAATAGGTGAGTTTCTAAAAATGGATAGCCTTCTAATAGCATGAGCAACGAGTCATCGACGAATTCACTCACACAAGTAGAAAGTCACCAACAACTTCGAGTCATGAGTTTGAAAAGCCATCGACAACTTCGTTACACATGTGGGAAGTTATCAGCCACTCGATATGGCTTAGACGAGGAGCAAACAACTGGTTTGGAAGTCATTAATGGCTTCATCAAATAAGTGGAAAGTTATTGACAACTTGTTTCAAACAAGTAGACATTAAATAAAAATTATTTTGAAACCATTGGTAGCTTCATCACATAAGTGGGAAGCCACTAGTAACTTTATTTTGATAAAATAAGAAACAAGAAGCAAGAGACAAAAAATAAAAAATAGGAATAAGAAATAGATAAAATAATTCCGAAACCATTAACAACTTCGTCACATAAGTGGGAAGTCACCGGCATCTTCATTTTTATAATTCAAAACTAAGCAAAAGGAAACCAAAAAAAAAAAAAACATGAACAAGAAACAAAAAACAAAAATAGAAAACATAAAATAAGAAACAAGTACTAGAAACGAATAAAATGATTTCGAAGCCACCGACGGCTTCATCTCATAAGTGGGAAGCCACCGACAACTTTATTTTAGCATTGTAGTTAGACACGCTTAATCAATCATCCATAAGAATAAGCACAAACTTCTCATTTAGACATATCAATGTAAAATAGTAAAATAGTATAGTTTGTCCTTTAATGGCCATTACAACAATGTTTGCTTCAATCCACATTTAAACCTTAAATATTTAAACAACATGCAACATTTTCATTTACATAATCGGACATAGTTAATCAACCAACCACATAAATAAGATAAACTTCACATTTAGATGTGCGTAAGTAAAACGAGTGTAGTTTGTTCTTTAATGGCCATTAGAGTAATATTTGCTTTAATCCACATTAAACCTTGAATATTAAACAAAATGTGACAGTTTCATTCATATTTTCAAATCATTTTTAAAGAGCATAGTGGTTTTGGACTTTTTCCCCAAAATTTTAGTAACTCAAATGTCTTATTTAAAGTCAATTTTACTCTTTTCATTCCTAATGAAAACTAATTATTCAGATTGCCCAAAAAAGAAGAGCAATTGTTTATTGAAAAAATATAATACATATCCCATTAAAGTGGCTAAAATTTTCTCCGAAGTCTACGTAAATGGCTAAGGTTATCATTGCTTTAAAAATTGCTATGAATTTGAGAAGTTATCGAAAATTGGCAAAATTAGCAACAAATTGCAATTGCATTTATCCTATTTAAAAATCAACAAAAATCCAAACCAACATAATCTTACAATAGTAATTTTTTTTCCCTTTTTTGATCTTAAATTTGTTATCGCTATTGTTCACAACCAACAAAGCCAACTCTTTTTTGTTTTTTTTTTTTTTTTGTTTCGTTATAGCCAAATGAAAGATACTATGTAGATGTTTCTTGGCTCAAATATGGAAGATAAAAGAGGGTTGGTTACTTTGAGGTTGCAAAGGTGAGAAAAGAGGTTATTATGTGTTGAACATGGTGCGAAGGCCGCTAACTACACCGGCATGAGGTTGTGTCGAGGTGCGCGAGCCGTGCTATATGTGATCGTGATGGCTTACAATGGTATGATGCTAGGAGGAGCTTTTGCATGGAGGTGAGGTGCATCCGGGCAACAATTGGCATGCTTAAAGAATTGGTAGTAGCTAGCACATGCGAGAGCTATGAGGGGGAGCCGTTGTAATAAGGTTATACATGAGGAACCGGCATGCACTAGGAGCCGCCCGTGGCATCTACTACATTATAAGGGGTTGCTTGGGTTGTTAGTAGGCTTAAAGGCTATGGGGTATATGTGGGTGCACGAGGAGGCTTGTGGCGAGCCCGTGAGTATGCCGGCTTGCAAGGAGGCCTATTTATGCTATTGTTGGTGTGCAATTGGGCATGCAAAGAGGAGTGTTTGAGTATCCGTTAGCATGTGAGAGATGCAAGGTGTGAGTATGTACTATCGGCTCGGGCATTTGTGAGGATGAGCGCATGTGAGGAGGTTGGGCTATTATGGGAGGAGCTAGAGCACGAGGGACCGGGCGAAGAGTCGTGGGTAAGGTGAGGTTGGCTAGCTATGGGGTGAGAGAGGGCTATTGTGTGGAGCTTTAGAGGAGAAACAAGTGATGAAGGGGGCTATGTTGTTGAGGGGGTTGTTGCAAAAGAGGAGATCTTGCGAAAGGGAGCCGCAATCGAGAGGGAGAGAGGCAGCTGGCCCTTTTTTAGGTGACAATGAACAGTCTTTTTATACTAAAAAATGCAAAGGGTTTTATAGATAATTTTTAGGTTTTTGGCAAAAGTCTAATTTGGTCCTCGATTATCCACAATCCATTGATTGAAGTTCAATTTTAATTGTTTGTTTAGATGAGGCCCTTAAATCTTAATTAATTAGGACTTTTCTTTTTGATTTCTTCCAATTATGCCCCCTCTTTATTTTAATTAAAGGATAAAAGTTTTGATTTTTTTAATTGTACCCTTAATTGTTCTCTTTTTTCTTTTCTTTTTAATTTCCAAACTTTCTTCTTCCTCCTCTTTTTTAATTAGCCCCCTCCTAAAACTAATCTAAGCTAATCATTCTAATTGATTTTTTTTTCTTTTCTTTTTTCTCTTTTTTTTTCAATATTTTTTTTTTTTTTTTACCATTCTTTTGGTATTTTTTTCAATAAAAAAAATAGAAATAGAAATAATAAGAAAAAATTGGGTGTTAACAAGAGAGAATAGTAAATCATTTATAATAAAATTTATCCTTTAAGAGAATAGCATGTTTACCCTTTGGGAGCTTTTAAATTATGTTACTTCAAGTAATAATATATTCGTGTTTCTAAAGCATTTAAAAGTTGTCTCTTTAAGTAATAATATATTCACTCTTCTAGAACCTTCAAAATTTATGCCTTTAGATAATAATATATTTACTATTCTTGAGTCTTCTATTAGATTGAGACAATGAGATATAATATTAACAAAAAAATGAATAATTAAATAAACACAATATATATATATATATATATATATATATATATATATATTCCTTCATAAATAAATAAATAAATAGCAAAATAAATTTGTAACTATCACTATATGATAGAATTTATAAGAAATATAAAATATTTTATTTATAAATAGAAAAAATAAGAAGTAATTGATTGTAATTACTATTATTTTGATATATAAAAATGACCTCTATATTTTATTCTTTCTTTTTCAACGAGGCTTGATAAGGTTCAATGAGATCCTTTGGTATACGCGACCAATGTTCATTCATATCACTTCTATAACATTCCTTTTTAGAATAGTAACTTGATCCATTTTTATTTTTTCTTGTTTTTTTATAGTCTATCTACTTCTAGTGGTGAGGTATATTATTATGGCCATCACAATTATAACGATAATTATCCCGACCACGTTCATGGCTATGATCACATCTTCGTCCATGCCTAAAATTATTATAAGTTGTCACGTTCACTTTAGGGAATAGAATAAGTCCAACTGGATGAGATTTATTATTTTCTATCAATAGCTCATTGTTTTATTTAGCCACGAGCAAGTATAAAATCGATTCAAAATATTTTTTAAAATTTTGTTCTCAATATTGCTACCGTAGGAGCATATTTGAAACGTAAAAAGTATAGAGTATTTACTTAGCATCAAGCACCAATAATTAATAATTCTTGTCCAAAGTGTTAAGGGCCACAAAATCAAATTTTGTGAGGTTTGTTATGATAAAAATTTTACAATACAAAGTGTAGTAATAATAATAATAATACTACTAATAATAATAATAAAATTTAAATAATAAATTTAAACTTTTCAAGCAATATATATTAGATCATTAGATTATATATATATATTAAATCATTTAACTTTTCCAAATGTATATTCTATGTATTACTAGATTTAAAGTACATGATAAATTAGATACATAACCCTTAATGATCAAATCACTAGTTTAAAGTACATGATAAATTAGATACATAACCCTTAATGATCAAATCACTAGTTTAAAGTACATGATAAATTAGATACATAACCCTTAATGATCAACATAATTGAGATCTTTTGATAGAGCACTTGTGTAAAGAAACAATCCAATGGTTGAAATAAATAATTAAGTCTTTTAGTAAATATATACCTTATGGTCTATTATCTCGTTTGGTTAGAGCTTCGTGGTGTTAATGTGTTATAAAAAAAATAATAACAACAATAGAATTGAAGAGAAAAATGATAGAGAAATTATTTCATTGTAAAATAAAGAGAATACAAGAGAAAACAACTTTAAACAATTATCTCGAGTCTCTACAAAATACTTGTACACAAACTAATGACCAATCAAACTTATTTGTAGGTTCAAGATTATGAAAAAAAATTAGAAGAGACTATGAACCATTAAAAGTACATAAATTATTGAATCAATTGCATCACCTTTTAATTTATCATATTGAATGATGAATTAAATCATATTAAGAATTATAAATAATATGGATATAAAAAGAATATAAACATTCATTATTTCATAATAATTTTACCATTACCATTATTTTTTCCACAGCTTTTCTCTTAGTTAATGTTTTTTTATTTGATTGTTGATTGTAAAATATTTTCATCTTCATGTTCATGTTTGCTTCACTTGGAAAAAACTTATTTATTATTTATTAGTTATTTATTATTTTTATTTTATTTTTGCGCTAAAATATGAAAAGATAGGGAAAGTGTAATCCGAACATGAAAAAGGTAAACAATAAATATTCTATGAAAACATATTCTACTTGAAGTAACATAAATGACACGAGAAAAATAACTTTTAATTTTGGATTATAATTTAAAAGTAATGACAAAAATATTTCTAGCTAGCATTTTAAGCAGACAATAATATTTTATTAAAAGGTACCACGTACAGTGCACATCCCGTAATTGAAAATATGAAAATGGAGTTATAGAAAGTGTAATCCTTTTTTAATTTCTTGTCGTCAGAAGAGGCAGACCAAACCAATTAATATGCTCACCCAACCTAAAAACAAGTATCTATTACATCAATATTATTGACATAGATAGCTCGTTAAGCCTTACTATTTAGGATTCCAAACTGCCTAAATCCACCATGTGATTCATTAAATATGACAAGTAAACACAAAACATCTTCACTATACATATATAATTTGCAAATTTATCCTTCTCAGAAAAATTTACCAACAAGTTTAGTTTTAAGAATTAAGTTAAAACAAAAAAAAACAAAAAAAAACAAAAAAAAAAAAAACAAAGGGAAAAAGATCTATCAAAAATTTCATTAACCATTAAGTTCGTGTTTTGATTTCTTTTACCCAAAAAAAAGTTATATTTCTTTTATACTTTCTAAAATACCCTCTTAAATATGAAGCTACTCATGTACCTTTAATTGTTTAAGGTAACTCATAGATGTAAACGTTATTTTTTCCATTCTTTCCTTTCTATTAGGTCCTTTAACATTATATATATAGTTCCTCACTTTTCGCTTGCATTTTTAAAATGATTCCATCAAGATACTTTTTTTTTTTTTGTCTGATAGCGTTTATAATATATTTTGTTACAATTGTGGGATATGTAAGTTCGTGCACTAAAAGGAAAAAAATTGAATTATATATTAACTTTCGAGTAAATTATAAATTACTCCCTTTTGGTTTTGAGAAATGAATTAATTCATCTCTATTATTTTAAAAAGTAATTATTTACTTCTCATGTTTTTAAATTTACTTGTAACTTAGTTTTTTTTTCTTTTTTTCAATTTATTTTTATTTCTTGTTTTAAGAAATAGAAAAAAATATATAAAAAACTATGGAAAGATTGATGAAAAAAAAACATTTTGTTCAATAAAAATAATATTAAATTAAGTATGATCAACAATAGTTAAAGGATTAAATAATAATTTTTTAAATGAAAAAGACTAATTAATTAATTTATTGAAACTGAAAGGACTAATTTATAATTTCTGCATTAAGCTTCTTTTTTTTTTTTGTTTTAACAATGATGAGAAGAATAGATGAAGAGTTGAAGAATCTATAAGGAAATTAAGAAAAAGATAAATAAGTTAAGCTCAATCAAGGGAGTTCTCTTATAGAAGGTATTTTTTAAATTAAAAGGGTATTCTAGAGGGTAGAAAATAAATTGAAATTCTTGGAAAATAAATTCAAAAGGTGAACTTATCACTTTTTTTTTAATAGTAAGAGCATTTTCAAGTTAGTTTTGTACTAAATTTTTTCCTAATGATCTTAAGGACACCGTACATCAGCATAATATATTTTGAAAACTTTAATAAATTTTCATGAATACTAATTCCAAGATTTAAATCCATAAAATCAAGAAAAAGAACATACCTTCTTTTTATTAGTAATTTTTTCCAAGAAGTACCCATTTTGTTCACTCATGGGCGAAAATTAATCTATTTGATAAAATTAAAGATTTCATGCCTTTGTCCCTACTGCATGTGATCTGGTCACTGGCAGCATCCAACATCAAGGAACCTTATTGCTGTATGACTGAAATCTGTAACGTATAAAGCACTGAAGAGGTAATTCATTTGACTATGTAAAAGTAACAGCTATTTTCAGGGACTTGCATGATGGAGCATTTATGTGTAAAGGTGACGAACACTAGGATACGAGCACAAACTGCTTGGTTACCTACAAGATTTCGTAACAGGACTAGCAGTAACATAGAATAGAAAGGGATCAGGGAACTTCAAATTCAATTAAGCGCAATATATATGTATGTATATATATATATATATATATATGAGTCAGTAATCAGTCCAAGATTTATGTATCCAAAAAAATTATTTTTAATTAATCATAACTCAAGCAAACATTTATACTCACAACTTTGCTTAATTTAGTCCACGATTTATGTATCCAAAAATTTTATTTTTAATTAATCATAACTCTAGCAAACATTTATACACGTTTTAGTGAATGTTTTGCCTGCATGAGTTAAAATTACTATAAGAGAACTACACAGAAGAAATCATGGGTCGAGATGGATTAGAAATGATACCCGACAAGATATGAGAAATGAGAAAGGAAATTTATCAAAATATTC